CTTGGATTTAAGAGAAATGAATCCTAATTCAGGACCTTCCTCACTTTGCAGGAAATCTGATTTTGCGGTTCAGCCCAATAATCCTCTCCAGCCCCAAAACCACCTTACTCCCTTCAATCATGGGACTAAAAACAGTGGTAAAAGCTTTTAGCACCATACTCTGCCATCCCAAGAAAGCAGACACATTTCCTTATCCTGGGAAGATGACAATTACCACTTCCTTCCACCTTTGAATGTTTCTGGCTCGATGCAGCCCCTTCCTTATCTCCGGGTTGGAAAAGCTGTATTGACCATTTGAACTCCTATTTTTCACAAGAGGAACGTACACTACAACCAGCTGTGGAGACAGACCTTGCTGAGCATCTATTTCTCTTTGTAGCCAGATTCATCCCAGTTTTAAGACATATTTTCACAGACCCGGGCAGGTCACTGAGTCCCAGTTTGATTGCCTTGGGCATTTCCAAGAGGAACAAAACTCTGACCCTCTCCTTGGAAAAAACAAAACACGGTGGTGCCTGGAGGACAAGAAAACATCACAGCAGCTAATTGCACTTCAAACTACTTTTTTTTTTTCCCTTTTACCCTACTTTTTGCCTTACATCAGATATAAGTGATGTTAGATGTCTGACAAAAAGGAATTTCTAGCTTCTACAGCAACAGGAATTCAAACCCCAACCAGCCACAGTGCTGGGCTGACCTGCTGGGGCAGAGGGGTTGGACTAGATGATTTCCAGAGGTGCCTTCAGCCTGAGGGATTCTGTGGAGTGACCAAAACCTCATTGAGGTCCACCATTTCAGCTCAAGTGATGTTAGATGTCTGACAAAAAGGAATTTCTAGCTTCTACAGCAACAGGAATTCAAACCCCAACCAGCCACAGTGCTGGGCTGACCTGCTGGGGCAGAGGGGTTGGACTAGATGATTTCCAGAGGTGCCTTCAGCCTGAGCAACTCTGTGAAGTGGCCAAAACCTCATCGAGGTCCACCATTTCAGCTGAATCAGTTCCCACAGCATGACAGGTTCCATCAAGGTAGAAATCACAAAGACAAAGTCAACCATTGGGTTGGGACTGTAGACTAAAAAGCCAAGCCAGGACCAAGAACTTGTTAAGGACGGTAAAATGATCCACGAGTTGATGATGAACAGCCACACTGAACAGCATTAGGAGCACAAAGAAACTTATTTCCCCAAAATATCCCTCCTTGAACCCAACATGACAAAATGAGAGCTCTCTGCTCCAAGGCTCTGCCCTCTGGAGGAGGACACAATGCTGGTAGGACCATCGTTGATACACACAGAAGCAAAGGATGGATTTTCAACCACAGCAAAAGCCATGACTGAAGGTGATTATTATTTTTATGATTGGATTGTGTCACACTTCCCCGCTTTTTCCCCCACTTCATTACTGCATTTTTACCTTGAGGTGAAATTGCACGATACTCTCATAAAGAAGATTATATATGAGATAAAAGCCTGACCTGAAGAATGCTTAATGCACACAACCCACTTAAAATGCGACGTTTATCATGGGGATACCAGGTTCTACAGTGAGTGAAAATTAATTGCATTTTCCACCGCATGAGCTCCTCTTGCACAAAAACACTCATTGATTTTTTTTGAGGCCAAGCATTAATCCCTTTTTTAAGGCAGCGACTGAAAAGTGGGATACCGACATAAAATTCAGCTCCTCATTTGAGTATTACTGTCCTGAAAGTAGATTACAAAGGCACCCTTTCCCCCTCCAGAAAAAGAAAAATGTCCCAAACTTGGTGAAAATGGAGATGGGTGGGTTAAGATATTTTTAGGCCGCTGTAAGCAGATATTTCACAGAGAAATAACACTGACTGGAAAAGGTTATGTCCCTGCAATGACTCCAAATAGCATCAGAAACAATAAAAATAATTATTTGTGATAACACCTTAGTCAATTTGCCATTATTCATACCGAAAGAAGGATGTTCTAACATAGCAACCTTGATATTTTTAACTAAATTAAGGGTTTTGTCCAGGTTGACACAAAACACAACTCCCTGAGTTGCCTGTTTATGTTGACATCCACAAAACCAACACATTTCCCCTGCGGGGGGGGAAATGCGCCTGTTTATGTTGACATCCACAAAACCAACGCATTTCCCCTGCAGGGGGGGAAAATGTGACTAAATTTCTTAATCATAGTAGATTCATTGTATATACTGGAAATAAACCTCACCTCTCAATATAGTAGGAGTTTTTTTCTTACTAAAGGAGACTCAAAGAAACAATATTCACTCAACTTTTGACGGCACATCTCAGAGCTCACAGCCATGGTCCGAGAGGGGTGATGTTGCCTGTTTTACCCACTTTTGTGGTCCAGGCAACAGCTTAAAGCTCCTGCCTGAATCACAGCAGCTCGTGATGCTACAGAAAACTGAGGATGGGGATGTGCTCATTGGGAGAAGGTTTGTTGGCTTACAAACCCTTCCCTTCCTTCCCAGTCTCTCCCAGAAACTTGGAGGGTGAGGAAAACCCAGGGTAAGGTAAGGGAACAAGAGCTGCTTTTTGCCCTGCGCTTACTCCTCAAAGAGAGGGAATTACCAGGATATGGATTTCCTGTCTCTGTGGCAAAACCAAAAGTTCTTATTTCACAAGGAAAGCAACAGATACCTCCCAGATCTGACAACAAACCATAAAAATACAGAGCCAGCCCAACCCAGGAAGCACCCAGGGAGCCAGAAATCAAGATCGAAGCGTAAAGGTACCTTGTTGCTTTCTTCATTTCAGGAATATTTAGCCCTTTAGGTAGTCAAAGAAACATGATGTCTATTTTTTATTGAAAGACCAGCTGCCCAGGTCCCCTCTTTGGTTTCGCAGAAGCCAGGAGAATCTGCAGCACGTTCTTACCCCAGTATCTGCTGGGTGAAGCAGACTCCCCAGTAGCGATTCTCCAGCAGGAGTTACTGTGGCATCATCCTCTGATGGCAAAGAGGATGTAACGGCCGAAAAGACTAATGAATTTTTAACCTCAGATGTGCCAGGGTTGGAAGAAGTGCAGCAAATTCCAACCATGCAACCCTGGGTAAGTTCTGAACATAAAACCTACAGTCACTGAGGAATCAACTACAGCTCTCAATTTACGTAGTCTTATCTCTGACACCAATATTCAGATATTTGGAGTTAAGTTAAATAACATCAAGGCTTAGAAAAAAAAATATGGTCCTGCAATACTTTTCCACAAAGCTTTACATTTCCCCCTAATTTCATAATATATTTTACTAGCATGATCTAAGGATAAAATCATTTTTCGCCACGGCTTTGGGAATCTGCTTCAATTCTAAGCCTGGATAGTCAAATTAAGAAAGCATGTTTAGTTTAAGAAAAAAAAAATAAATTGGATGAGTTAGAAGAAAAACCCTTCTAATGCTCCCCAGGGTCTCTGGGTCCTTCAACCCAATTTGATGTGAATGAAACCATTATTGTTCTTTTGACTCCCGCTGAGCCATTATGCTAACGGTTTTCTAGAGATTTGAGCAGCATTTTACTCCATGTTTTCCTTATTCTACTGGCCAGGATTTTAGCCTTTAGACGTAGGAAGTTTCCAGGTTTAAAACAGTTTTTGTTGAGAACGCAATAGCCTTTCAATTTTATAGATTCTTACACAAATTTTAGATCGGCACATGGTGAGTATTTGAAATTAAGTGAGAGAAAACCTTGTGTCCCTCTTTTTCTCTCTTTTCCAGCATCAGTCAGTTGAACACATTAACACCCGCAGCAATGAAGACTCAATCAAGCACATGAAACCAAACACACCCACCAACAGAGATTTCCTGCCATAAAAACGCTCACGCGTTGGATGGAAGAGCCACACCCTAATAAAAATCTAACAGAGAAAACAATAAAAAGGGTTAAAAGGTAATAAAAGGATTATTATCAAGCTATATAGACTCAGCCAAACCTTTAAGTGATATTTTATTGCGTTAAAATGTGAGCTTTGATGATCCAGCTGGTGTTTTAACTGCCTTAGAGCCAAAATACTAACTTTTTTTTGAATAGCACTGCCTTAGAGCCAAAATACTAACTTTTTTTGAATAGCCCTGTGTGCGTAGCGATAGAATAGATGCTTGCTGTACAACCTGCTTGAAATAAAGCTGCTTTCAAGTAAATTTAGCCAAAATACTAACTTTTTTTTGAATAGCATGTGCGTAGCGATAGAATAGATGCTTGCTGTACAACCTGCTTCAAATAAAGCTGCTTTCAAATAAGTTTTAGAAAATATCTGTGCAGTATAATTCCAAAACCAATTTGCCACTTTGGCTTAAAAAAGGAAAGCAGGCTTCCAGTGATTAATACTTACAATACTTTCTTTGCAACTGCCCCAGCATAATATTGACGGGAAGAGCAGACAGTTTGATATCTAGAGCTCGTAGAGGCTTCTGTTCCTGTGATAATTCAATTAAACAACTTGAAAAAAACCAAACCTGATGAGCTGTAAGCTCTGGTTTTCTTCTGAAGGCACTTCAAGTAAGATTTCATATAGACGTTCCTGACACATGCATAGACAGCTCTAAAATGAGCACAAAACCTCTGGGCTAATCAAAGCAACTAAACTGTTTCAGATGAACAACAAAACCGAGCAAAAGCAGTAATTAGGCTGATGACAACTCACTTTAAAAGCCAAAATTCCTTCAGAGCAAAACTCCTGACACATCTCTAATGGCCAAAAATAAACTCATTAAGTGCCGTTCTTGAAGTGGGTTAAAAATAGCATCTTTATATCCTATAGAAGTCCCATACAGCCCAGAAACTCCACAAAAACCACACCGCGCCGCTGGTGCAAGCCTCCAATTTTCCAATAATATCTACTCTTCCAGAAGGCCTAATGCATTACCCAAGAAATTTGAGTATGGTGAGACCCTTCCCTTGCAGGAACGGCAGCACTTTCAATTTGGGATGACAAGTAAATCTTAACCCACCCCCTCATTCCCCATTTTTCTGCGCTCCTGAGTAGGTGGTATGGGTTTCCTCACCTGATAGGGACACGGGATGTGATATTCTCTGCAGCGTTCTTGAAACCACGTCGTCTCCCACACGCCTCGATAAGCCTGCTCATAGAAATAGCAGCCAATTACAACCAAGAGGGGCACGAGGTACAGAACACTGAACACACCGATGCGGATCATGAACTTCACCAGTTTGTCCTGGTTCTCTTTTTCTAACGGGATCTCGATGCGCACCCGATTGAGGGAGATAATGCCAGCTAGGAGAAGGGAAACTCCAACAACAACATACAGGCAGAGAGGTGCAAGGACAAAGTATCTCAATGCATCCACATCATAGAGGCCAACAAAACAGACGCCGCTAATATTGTCACCTTCAATTTTATTCATGGCTAAGAGGATGATGGTTAGAGTTCCAGGAATGCCCCAGGCGCTGGCGTGGAAGAGCAAGGCCTTCTTCTCGATGGCTTCGCTGCCCCATTTGGGCACAGCAGCCAAGAACCAGGTGATGGTAAGAATGACCCACCAAACGCTGCCAGCCATGGTAAAGAAATAGAGGACCATGAAGAGCATGGTGCAAGCCTTGTTGTGAGAGCCCTGCGTCACCGTGGAGGCCTTGTACTGGGCAGGGCTCGATGCGTTACACGCTACTCGGTCTTCCAGCAGAAAGCCAATGAAGAAAATTAAGGACACCATCATGTAACAGACGGCATAAAATATTATGGGTCTTTCCGGGTAGCGAAATCTGGTGACATCGATGAGGAAAGTTAAAAAAGTAAACAAGGTAGCAGAGAGGCAGACGATGGAGATGACTCCGATGAAGTAGCGAGCAAAGGAGAGCTCTTCACGCCGAAAATACATGTTTGGGCACGGAGGGGAGCAGTCCCGTACCCTCAGGAAGGAGTAACCCAGATCGGGGTCTATTTTCAGCTCCTGAGGACACCAAAAACCATAATCCCTCTGCACTGCCATTGGGGCCTCTTCCGTGGGCTCCCCAGCTAAATTGAGGTCAACAAGACGAGGATACGGCTCATCGCAATCTGGGAATCTAAAAAGGAAGAAAAGAACTATTTACAAGGAATATACACACACTTTGCAAAGAGTAGGAACCTTATTTATACGTCTGACTTCAGACACACTAACCTGAGCAAAAACAAAGACAATCCAAATAATGGGCAAGCCATGAAATACTACACTATGTTTATACAAACTCTAGAACTCATTGTCCCAAAACGCGGTGGATGGTGAAATAATAAAATAGGTTTAAAAATAAACCAGAGAAGTAAATGGAACAGGCCCCATTGGGACTTTAAGCATAAAGGTGAGGATACCAAATCCATCTCGGGAAGTCTATAAATTCAGGCTTACTGTAAATTGAGACTATGTGCCCAAGGAAGCAGGATTTTATAAGAACATTTTCAAACCTTTCCCTTCCTAGCTGCTATCAGACAGGACGGTGAGCTAGTTAGACCAAAAATCCAACTCAGCACTGCCACTAGCATTAATCAATTGGAATTACGATGAAGCTATTTCTGTAATTAAGTAAAGCTTGGACAGGAGCTGCTGGAGATGCAGTCTGAAGTTTTGAAGGACAGACTGGAGGGATTCCACATGTAGCTGTCCTGTCCTTCCCTCTGCTAGATGGCATCACCTCAGCAAGCGTAGCAGAAGCCAAGTGTGCCTGGTCCTCTGCCACAGCCCATGTTCTGGCACAACAGCACGAGGACAGCACCAGCAAAGTTTCAGCAGATTTAGCTCTAGTTTTGAAATTTCACTACCTGAAATTTCACTGCTCCTCAGTGAGGAGACGGAAGGACCTGAAGGGCCCAAGCATCTGTTCGTCGTAGGGAGTTAGAGCCATCTTTGATCCAGATTATAAGGACCTGGAAGCATCCTCTGACTGATTCTTTTGCCAAAAGAAGTTTTAATTGTTTTTCACTCTCTCCAATCCAACTGTAAGAGAGACTCTTTCTTCCTGTTTGTGCTCCTGCATTTTATTAGCTGTCGGGGTCACTTATAAAAAATAAAGCATAAAGATATTGTTTTCAATTTCATGTCTGTTCAGTTTCAAACAGATTGGAACATCATCATTTGTATAAAGTTCTTTCTATAATGTAAAGCTGAAAATATCTATTTGCACACAAGCTCAACAAGAAGTAGATGCTCTGAAAAAAGAGCTTTGAGATTCTGTGCACTCACAAAGCCAGCCAGCTCCCCCTTCAGAAAAAAAAGACTATTCATCTCCAGCGTATGTCATTTTGCCCAACCTCTGAAAAAAGAGCTTTGAGATTCTGTGCACCCACAAAACCAGCCAGCTCCCCCTTCAGAAAAAAAGACTATTAATCTCTAGTGTATGTAATTTTGCCCAACTCTCAGAGAAATTTATAGCAGTATAACCTATTAAACTTGGGTATAGCAGACAAAACCAGGTCAGCATAAGTGATAAAAGAGTTCAAATAGATGGGTATTTTCATTAATTTAAGAAAATGCATGTGCAGTTCACTGTAAATGCCCACAGAAATTTTGCAGTTGATAGAAATATGAACTCAGTTTCCACACCAGGAAACAGGTTATTACACAAATGGAAGAAAAAAAATCAGGGAGCTTGTAATGGAACATATTTTAAACACCTGCTTCAGATCATAAAACACAGCAAAATTTTATCCTGGGATTCTGAAAACGACCAGCTTTGCTCACCTGGTGCACTCCATATCCTCAGGCCAAGAGACCCCAAACATCTCCATGAGTTTGGAGCACTCGCTGTACGCCCGCTGGCAGAGCCTGCGGCACGGCAGGGTGACGCGCCCGTACTCCATGCACACCGGAGCGTAGAGGGCACACAGGAAGGGTCGGAAATCTCTGGAGCATTCCAAATTCACCATGGGATGAAACGGCTAGGAAAGACAAAAAAAAAGGAGAATTCAATACCTACAAACAGCAGGTTTGTAGAAGGCTCCATCAGGAAGCTGTAATTAGCCCTCACTCCTCATGAGACATTCACAACCGTAACCACAACCTTCTTTTTTCTGAACTTCTTCTGTTGGAAGAAGCAATCATGGTAACGCAGCACTTATGTATTTTAGGAAGACAGGCAATCAAGAAGCCTGGGGACAATGACAAAGAGTCACAAGGGAAATCTACGTACTCAATTTGCATTCAAATCAATGGGAATTAGACAGCTAAACACCTCTGAGGATTCAGGCTCAGCTTCACACTTCCAATAAGAGTCAGATAAACTTGATTCCTTTTAGTAGCTGACAGACACATGAATGGCTACCTGCTTATTTAGGAGGAGAATATGAAAAACCTCACATTCGGGTGATGAGATTACAATCTGAGGAATGTCAGATACTGCAGGATTCCTTGACAGTAGAGAAACACAGCATACTGTGATCTTTCAAATATTTTTTTTCAGATCACGACATAATAATTGTAAATAATCTCTCTATTTCTTGAATCTCTCCAGCAGGGCAGTGTGCTTCAGAGCTTTCTACAAAATACCAACACGGGGCATTTTCCATTATGTCCTTCCCACACGAGAACCCATCTGTTAAAATCTCAATCATCTCATCAGAGTGTATTCCCAGACAGAAAACTGTCCTAACGTGCATTCTATCATTGTTATATAAATTCTATATCTGTATAAGAACTTTCTGGCTTCCAGAGCGGGGCTGTAATCACGGCAGAGTCACATTAAGTATGTCGTTTCTTGACGAACCACCAGAAATAACTGTGAAATCAAAGCCTGAAATAAATTAAGTCAGAAAAAATAACTGCTGTTTCGTGCTACCGTGTTCCCTCATAACAGGTTTAATAACGCTCCTCGGAAGCACGGAGAGAAAAATCACAATTAGCCAAAATACAGCTGTTCTTAAGTATTTCTGAAGATGAAAAAGAAGGGAAAAAAGTAGGACGGGGATTTATGTCTTAATAAAAACTGGTGCACATTGATAATCCATGTTATCTTCTTACTATCCAGCGTGGGTTCATTTTGCTTTTGCTTGTTATGGCTTATCTTTAAAACTCTCCAGGAGTCAATCAATATCTCATTCTGAGTTTGTGTGGCACCTACCACTATATAAAGCCTCACTGTATCTTTGGATATTAATATAAGATCATTTATATTCCCTTAAGAGTGGAACTACAGAATATAAAAATATATTTGAATTTACAACTCTAGAATAAACCAAATCAGCACGTGAGCACGGAATTACTCTGCTACCTCCAGACTGACTTTTATTGACCTTTATTGACTTCTTTTCCTTGACTTATATTTCAAATCATCGCTTGAAGGGAAAAGGTGACGGTTGCTCGATCAATGGCAATGCCACCGTGAGCTCTGTTCCAGAGAGATCTTTACAAAAAGTTGATTATCTTGATACCAGAGTTTCCTTTTCTCCAGAGCCCAGCAGGATTATAGAGGAAGAAGTCTAATCTTCAGAATTTGTGGTGCAATAGCAGAAGCACAAATGAACCTGCTATATATATAAATATAAAACTTCAATCGTATTATAACCAAAGCTGGAGAGGAGGCTGTAGAAAGATTACATTCTCAAAGAGCAATTCCCTGAGAAGTATTTTAAGCCACTTCAACATTTTCTTTTTCCAAACTACAGAACAGAACAGACCCAATAACAAAAAATAGGTCATCTTCTGTAGCATTGGAAGTGACAATTACCAGAAATGATAAGAAAAAGTTTCACATTTCAGTTCTTCCTTATCACCTCCGTACTCTTCCAATCCTTCCTGTCTCCTTTGCTCTGCAAAAGGTTTGTTTTCAGAATGCAAGACAGAATCACGGAATGATATGGGGTTTGAAGGGACCTCTGGAGATCATCTCCTCCAACCCCCTGCCAGAGCAGGTCCACCCAGAGCAGGTCCCACAGGAACGTGTCCAGGGGGGGTTGAATGCCTCCAGAGAAGGAGACTCCACCACCTCTCTGGGCAGCCTCTGCCAGGGCTCTGCCACCCTCAAAGGGAAGAAGTTCCTCCTCACGTTTAGAAAGAACTTATTATATTCAAGTTTGTGCCCATTTCCTCTTGTCCTGTCCCTGGGCACCACTGAGAAAAGACTGACCCCATCCTCCTGACACCCTTCAAGTATTTATAGGTGTAAGGCTACAGGCGTAAGATATAACCATGCTGTGATTTTACTGATTTTTTAAAAAAACATTATTATTATTTACCAAGCTGGTTAAATTCTCTTCAGTACTATGCATTTTTGAAATCGTTGTCACAACAGAGAGATGGGAGTTGGCCACAGCTTGTACGAAGAGCAGTATAAGCCCTCAGAGGTATTGACAAGGAGAAAGGAAGCAACAGTTGGAAAGTATTTACATTTCCAAGCTCATTGTTACTCAAGAAACACTTTCTATTTGGCTGGGTATTCAGAAGCATATAGGGTTCTATTTTTAAATAGTTATTGCCTATAACACAGCTAAAGTTATTGTTTGACAACAAGGATCCAAGAAACTGACTCTAAGTAGTTACGACACCTGACATGGCTGGAAAAGCAGAAGGCAAATAAAACTCCACTTCTATTTTGGGAAGTGTTTAACTTTCCTTTTTTTCTAAGAACCTTGAAAACAAGAAAATGAAATTATAGCTTTATGACAAAGAGTTACCAGCTTAATGCCTGCCCCCCAAAAAGTCTCACTTCCTGCCACTGCAGTCTTGCATGCACCTGTAACTAAATTCCAAGTTCTCCTGACAAATGCTCTCCTCTGATACAACTTTCATGTAAAAAATAGATGTTTCAGAAATTTCTCTTTTCCTGCTACTTCACCTTCATTAAAAGCTCTGTTTGGTTTTGGTTGATCTGCAGAGAGCTGCACCATTTCAGAAGATCCCAGACTATCTCATGGGGTGCACGTAAGAAAACCATGTAAACAGAGCTCCCAATCACGGCTGTTGCAAAGCAAAGGAAAAGCAGTAAAGCAAGTCCAAGGGAACAGAAAAATACCATATTTCCTTGTATCCTGTTGATCCTGCTAAGGCCAGGTGGCTCTTGTGATGGCTTTCAGCCAACTCCAAAGGATACTGGGCAATGGTGTCCGAGGGAATACTGGAACCGAGACAGGAAACGTCCAAAAATGGGGCTGCAGATGGTGCAGATGGCTCCGGGGTCTGAAAGGGCACTCTCTGTGAGAGCAGGGTGTCCCCTCCAGCAGCCCCAGGGTGCTCAAACACGCACAGGCTGTGAGACAGCTGCCCAAACGCCGCCTTCTCCTGCTGGCTGAGATGCCATTCCTTTCCCTCAACATCCACGTGGGCCTGGATGGTCAGGAACAAGATCTGTTCCTCTCCAGGGCCTGACAGATACCGCACAGGGTCCATGCAGAGACCTGCTCCCTGCTGGCATGACAGCTGGAGCCTGGGTTGGAGGCACTGAGACATCTGAACTAACACTCATGGAACTTGATCATCCCCAACTAAGTCCCTCAGACCCTGGAGGGCAGGTCACCTGCACTTAGGGTTCTTTATCACTGAAGAAAACCCGTCTGGTTTTGAGTATGGCCTCGGCATACTCCTCAAAGCACACTATGGATACACCCAACCCTAACAACACTGAAGAAATGCCCTTCAATAGGGTAATTCAATAGGAGCGTTCCCCTAGTGCTGCCTGTTGTGTTTCTCAGCAACTCCAGGCTCACTCACACCATCCCGTCTCTCAAAACAGCAACTGCAGGCAGGCAAAAAACTCTCTTATGAATTATATCCAATCAGTTTGTTTTAAAATCACGAAGAGGCTAAGCTAGAAAACACAAGAAAAAAACCCTACAACCACCCCTGGTAACACAGAAAAAAAGACTCACTCACTTTCAACCCGTAACCCTGCTATAAGCCCCTTATCTCTGAAATTACCTGACTTGGTTTGCAGCTCCTAAGATGAAAAGTCACTTCCACTTACTGATTATATTGTTCGCTATTAAAAATAAAGCCAAGGAGATGAAAAGACTTTTTTTTTTTAATGCTGTTGCCCAAGGAGGCAGTGCAAGTTATGACATTTAGCCCTACTCCGCTGCGGTGCCGAACAAAAGGCTCTCTGTTGAAACGGGACGGGGTTTTGAGGAGCATCTGTTGAACAATTCAAGATACAGAGGAAAAAGGAAGAGGAGAAAGACAAGAAAAAGATGCAGCAGCCAAACTGAGTTCAATAATTCAGGCCAAGTCTGGGGAAATCCAAGAAGGAGAAGAGATAAATGTTTAAGAAGAGATAAATGCTTCTTCTCTCCTGAAGGTACTTAAGTATTTAAGATATGCCAGCTCACAGAACTGTGTAATACAGCTACAGCTGTACGCCCACTGGTCCTTCCACCTCTGACAACAATCTCTATGACCACGGAAATTCCTTCAAACCCTGTACCCCTGCTTTCCTCACAGCACTCCAACTTGCAAGTCCAACCCTACCCATCTCTTCTTCCCCAGAATCTTCTTTGCTGGTAGCAAACCTGCCTTAGGAAATTTCCCAATTCCCTCCAGCTCCTGCCCTCCCTACAATTCCTCTCTGATAAAAAGAAAAACCCTGAGCAATGATTTAATGGACAAACTCCAACAGAGGGTAGAGATTTTCTGCTTACCCTTGGTTTTCTTTTGGTTTGTTGTTTTTTTTTTTTTCAGGATGGGCTTAAGGACAAAGCAGAGTTGGAATGATACATGTACATTTTTGCCCCCAGTTATCTTTTTAACAAATTTTCACGTTTGGTTACAAAGTAAGAGCTATAACTCTAACTATAAGTACGCCACAGAACTGCATTACATGTTTGGACTTCTCATATTCCAGCTTTTCTTTCACACAGCCGTAGCCATTCAGCTGGCTGTCATTTGGGAAGTAACATCACTGCAAGACTTAAACGAGATCATTTGGGTGATCTGTCAGTGTTCCATTTGTTTA